TTAGGTTTGCTGACTTGATAAGGACTCCTTTTTAGTGTGCATTGTGATTCTTCCTGGTTCTCACGGATTGTCACTGGCGTGGTTCACTGATTTCAGTCACCCACTGTGCAGTGTTTGCCTACATGTGAGGCACTGGGAGAGCTGCTTGTAGGACATGACAGTCTTTTCTCTGGTGCATTGAGTAGCGAGATAAGGAGTTGTGGAATTCAGAATGACTCTTCAATCTGGTCCTATCAGCATAAATGTGTTCCTAGCAGTTCACAGATTCTCTTCTTTTCTCCTAGCATCCTCTCCACACTAACTGCAAGAAAACAATTTAATCATTTAAAATAGTTGCTGCATTCTTATGAAAAAGTCAGGGAGAAACAATAATTTTTTTAATTTTTAAACTTTTTAACCTACAAATTTAGAATGCGGGATTCTTTCTGCTACATGCTAGAACTGTATTAAAAAATCAACCCATCGGATATGTGGTTTCTTGGGAATAAAACAACCGATAGGATTTCCTTTCCTCCTCCTCCTCCTCCTTCTTCTTCATGGAATTGATCAGTTTATTGGACCATCATTACATTAACATAATTTCAGGAAAAGGAAAATAACATCGAATCTCAGTCTATAAAACTAAACTATGCCCTGAGAAATCAGAAATTCTTAGAAAGCAAAGCTCAACAACTATCTGTCAGTCAAAGAACTTAAAATTCATGTCAGGCTTATCTTAGGAACTCGCACTATAATGTATATGGCACTTTGCAAACTTGAGCTGATTTGCCTTTTGAAAACCAAGAGGATACACCGTGATGTTCAAAAGACCTTAACTGAGGCACATGTGATATTGCTTGGACCAATAAGAATTTACTTTGTTGTCCAGGAACTTGAGATACAGTCAAAAGTTTTAAGTTTCATTAATGAAAACATAAAACAATCTTGCTATAAAATTTACGAGGCTGACTTCCTCTCCTACCATGCAAATGCTTTGCTATATGCTGTTACTTTTAAGCTATCCACTAAAACACATCACAACTTTACAGTCAGTGTTTTAAATGGAGGGCTGACATATAGCCTTTGACAATATTTAGCACTTTATAGCAATACGTTAATGGTAACTTTAGAAACTATAGCATAATGAAATTTTAAAGCCAATTAAGTTGATGAGTCACTGTCAGCTTCTTAAATTCCTCTTTTAGATGAATAAGACAAGCAACTGTAGGAAGTGAGGAGCGAACTCTAGCTCTTGTAAAATCTTAAGTGTCCTCATGAAGTTAAAATGTTAGGGAATAGGAAAATAAGTCTAAACAGCCTGGAAAGAAATAAAATGATTTCTTGTTAAATTTCGAAATGGTAATAATGTTCAGTCTTTTAGTTTGTCACCACGTACTTCTATTGATTCATGGGAAGAGTTATATAATGTCCATTGACTTGTGTGACGACTGTCACTAAACAGCCTTCTGAACTTTTACTTAAAAAAAAGAGGGGCAAAGTTGGAATATTTAATCTCTGCTCATACTATTAGGAGTTTATAACTAGTTAAGGAAATAAATAGTTTGACAAGTGCAAATTTAAATATGTCCCTTTAATAAGATGTATGGTATTTGAGAATTAATTATAAATCTATTATGTGTAAGATTGAAATTGTTTTAGGAAAAAATCAAGAAAGAATATGTCTATTAAGGGTGCCTGGGTGGCTCAGTCAGTTAAATGTCCCAGTTTGATTTAGGCTCAGGTCATGATCTCAGGGTCATGAGATCAAGGCCTGTCTTGGACTCATACTTTGTGCAGAGCCTGCTTAAGATTCTCTCTCTCTCCCTCTCCCCCATCTCTCCTCCTGCTCTCTCTCTCTCAAATAAATAATCTTTAAAAAAAAGAATATGTCTATTAAATTAGGGCATCTCCATTAAAATTTATCTGGAAAGTATTATATATAACTTTATCCCAGTTATTAAATGTTAAGAAGTATCTTTATAGATTGATAGTGAGGTTGCAGTAGCATTAAAATAAAATCATATTATGTTAAATCCAGAACATTTTAGGATAGAGTAAATTTAAAAATATAAAACATTCACACACATCTAGCTCTTACATATATTCCACGGACTGTGAAAATTTTCCAAATTCCTTAATGTTCTCATGGTCATTACTTTCTCTGAATCAGTTAGGCTTGGGTATTTTCTGCCATTTCTATGCCTGCTATTCATATTCCACCCAGTGGTAATAGAGACAAAGAAATTCTCTCTTTTCTTTAAAGTACACAAAAGGGGCACCTGGGTGTTTCAGTCTGTTAAGTGTCTGACTTGATTTTGGCTCAGGTCATGATCTCAGTTGTGAGATTAAGCCCTGCTTTAGGCTCCTCACTCAGTGAGGAGTCTGTTTGAGATTTTCTCTCTCCCTCTGCCTCTCCCCCCTTCTCTCTCTAAAATAAATAAATAAATCTTTAAAAAAATGTGTGTCCTCTTGATTATTAGAGAGGAGCCACGCATACACAAAAATAAAGTACACAAAAGAAAGCAAAATCAGAAAAACAAGCAATAATGTTTGCAGGAGTGTGGCAGAAGCGGGGCAGGGAGGGGGTGGTGTGTGTGTGTGTGTGTGTGTAGCTGAGGGATTTACAGAGCAGCAATACAAACAACATAACCTGTAATGTTAGTGTGACAGACAATGTTTGTGTCCCTTTCAAATTTATATGTTGAAACTCTACCCCGTAATATGATGGTATTAGGATGTGGGTCTTTGGGAGGTAATTAGGATTAGATGAAGTTTTGAAGATAGAGCACTATCCCTCATGAATGGTATTAGTGTCCTTAAAAGCAGTCACCAGAAGTCTGCTATCTTCCATGTAAGGATATAATAAGAAAACGGCTGCCTGCAACCCAGAAGACATCCTTCACCAGGACCTAACCATGTTGTTACCCTGAGTCTGGACTTCTAGCCTCAAGAACTTTGAGAAGCAAATTCCATTGTTTATAAGCCACCCAGTCTTTAGTATTTTGTTATAGCAGCTCAAACTAAGACAGTTAGGTATCTTATCTGTGTTTCAAAATTACAGATTTGTCATGTCCCCAAATTGGGAGATGCTGATTCAGTAAATCTGGAGTGGCCCTCAGGAGTCTGTACTTAAGAAGATAATCAAGAATGAAACAACTGCTCTGGGATTTATAGTCTTCATTTCCAGTTATCAAATTTAGTGATACAAAATAAATGAAACCAGGATCTTCTCATTGACCTAAGGACGTACCCTCAAAGTAGTTATTTCAGTCTCATATCAAGTTTACTTGTCATTTCCCTCTTTTTTCATAGCCAATCATGCTGATCTGCCCAGAACTATCTACATTTTGGTCCTATGTTCTGAGAAACCCCTCAATCCTGGACTAACCAGGGTGGTTGGTCACCAGATAAAATCTTTAAAGAAACAACTGCATCTTTTTGGTTGCCGTGACCATTCTTCATTATTTATTTATGAATTGTCTACTTCGTGGTGAAAACTATGGGAGAGAAATTTTTGGCTGAAACTGAAAGGGCTCTTTTCACAAGGTCACTTGATGACGTTCTGGACATAGCAGAGCTGTTCTAAGACCTAGGAGACAAAGTGCCATACAAAGTTACAGAGAAGACAGTGCTCCCCTATCTGCATGGATGTTAGCTTAGATCATATAGCTATTGCAGATTGAAGGAATCAATATATCTTTTGACACCTTGAAAGTACTCTTTGTAAGAACTGATCTTCCCTCTCTGTGCTCTCAAACCTGTAAGACCCTCTATTGGAGGTTTTAGGGAAATGATGTAATTCTCTATAATAATAGCTTGGTTTTAGCTCTATTGAGTTTGACATGGAAGCAGACTACATAGGAATATGATAAGCAATTGGAAATGTGGGCTGGCAGTTACGTGACAGAAAAGTCCTAGAAAACTAATTTATCAGACTGCTAGATTTAATGAATTAAATTGATTACTATAGAAATAGAAAATTGATGGAGATCTAAGCACAGCATGGTGACTATGGTTAACAATACTGTATTGTATACTTGAAAGTTGCTAACAGTAAATCTTAAATGTTACCACCCCAAGGGAAAAAAAAGGTTACTATGGGAGGTAATGAATGTGTTAACTAACCTTATTGTGGAAATCATTTCATAATATATACATATATAAAATCATCATGTAGTATACCTTAAACTTACACAATGTTATATGCCAATTTTATCTCTGTAAAGCTGGAAAAGATTTAAAAATAAAATAAAATAGAAATTTGAGTTCAAGGGGCACCTGGGTGGCTCAGTTGGTTGAACGTCCGACTCTTGATTTTGGCTCAGGTCATGATCTCAGGGTCCTGACATCGAGCCCCACATCAGTCTCCAAGCTCAGCACAGAGTCTGCTTGTCCCTTTCCCTCTCTCAAATAAATAAATAAATAAATAAATAAATAAATAAATAAAAAAAATATTAAAAAGAAAATTGAGTTCAAGAAGAAAATAAGTTGAATGATTCTTCTGAAGATAGCTGGTTCACTTAAGGAAACACTGTCCTTTAATATTACAGAAAGGGCTCCCAAGTAAAGCACATTCAAAATGAGAATAGGTATGGAGGGGAGAAAAAAAAAGACCTTACTTTGAGACACTAATTAAATGATACTCCTGGAACTGAAGTAGATGAAAAGAATGAAATCTACACATTTTACTTATAAGATCAAGTCACTTCCAAAATGTTATGTAATTACTAGAATGTACAATGTAATCAACTCAGTATGATGGAAATAAAGATAATGGAAGTATAGGTTTTTATTTAGTTTATTTCTTTTTTTGCTAACAGAATAGTTTCTGTTCTTTCCAAATAAAAAATTCAATACCCAGTTTAAAAGTCTGACTCAGTAAGTATAGGATTAAAATAATTGGGAGTAAAATCAAATAGTTTTGTCTCATTAAGTGTGCCTCAAATGTGGAAATCTTGGCCCTAATGCCATCTTTTAGTGAAATCTAACACCAATTGATGGTTTTCTTTTTTCTTTTGCAGGGCTGGAGCGAATTGCAAGGGATTCATCTTATGAACAGGAAGGAAAGGTCCAGTTTGTAATTGATGCAGTGTATTCCATGGCTTATGCTCTGCACAATATGCACAAAGATCTCTGCCCTGGATACATTGGCCTCTGCCCACGAATGAGTGCTGTTGATGGCAAAGAGCTCCTTGGTTATATTCGGGCTGTAAATTTTAATGGTAAGTTACAACATTTTTTTGGTCATTAAATACTTTAAAAGTGAAGGTGTTTGTCCCTCCCCACCCCCATATATAGAAGATACTTAGAGTGGGAAGCACAGGATTAGAAGCAATTCCCCTTTTAATCAGAAGTGTGAGTTTTCCACCTGCATTTAAATCACAAACATATTTTTTGTGCTCCTGAAAGAAACATTAATCTGCTCCTGAAAGAAGAAGAAGTTAAAAATAAACCTCTATCAATCAAAATATTCTACTTAAATATCACTATTTCAGAAATAACTTAGGAGGCTCATTTGGAAGCATTGACAACAGATTAAATTTCTTTGAAAATGTTTTGTTTGTGCCATTCTTAAAGAAGAAATTGTAGAGATTTTGTTTTAAAACTGATTTTCAGCTTTTGAAACAGTAAGTTGACTTGAGGAAGGTACATGATCTGGAGTTGCTACATATTTACCTTCTAAGAGTGCTGGGTTAGGTTTCTGTATCCTCTCTTTCCTTGTATCACTTTCAGTGATTTGGTCCCTGTAAAGCAATGGACTGCATCCTGTAAGCTAGAACTACATCCGACGGACGCAGTGTAGGTGGGATTTGCCTCCTGCACAAGCAGAGCTTCTGCTTTCTGTTGAGTGTCACAGAAACGGATACAAAATATACTGGACCCAGAGTATTCGGCTGAGAATAGCCAACTGCCTGTCTGAAGCAATGGAATTATTGAATGTTGCTACTCTTTCACGAAAGTTATAATGGTTGCTGCCCATGATTTTGGCCATTATTTTCAAATGAAATGATAGAATGCTCCGAGCTGTCTAATTCTTTCTGTTTGGCTGTAATCCACACAATGGACATGCCTCCGAGTCACGAACAGCCCTGCACTGTCCATCATAATACACTCCAGTGACCTCAGCTGCCAGCCTTTCTCAAAAAAGCACAAGGTCATCTTCAATTTAGAATTCAAATGGAAACTTCTTCTTTTGCTTTGTGCGGGCAATGTGAGGCAAAATTTGGTTTACATGCAATACTTATTTTCAGCAGAATTTTTTTGTGAGACATTACATAACAATCCTTTTGTTACAAATGTAAATATTAAGGGGGAATGTAAAAATAATTTTCTTGCAATTATGAAAATTGAGCAAAAGAGGAGTATTACAATGCAAGGTTATTTATCGTAACATGAGGTTGGGGAGCACTCCATTTATTCAAGTAGTTAGGAAGTGTAAAAAGGAATGCAAATGATTATGTTTTCTCAATAACTGAAGCTCACCTCCAGAAGATGGGAAAATCTTTAAAGAAACACGAGATTAAAGTATTTTAAAGGTGGATTACCAGTTTCTCTCTTATCTTAATCATAGATAAAAGCCAAACCCTTCCTTGATGACTTCCATTATTATACCATACTATAATATAATGATGCTATTAAAGACTATTAAAAACATCTTAATGCCTAATGATTATTAAGACAGTTTACCTCTAGACTCCGATGATTCCTGAGTTCTTGTCTGCTTTTTATAGTCTTTTTCCCCCCTTCTACCTTATGAGACTGCTGTTTTTGTGATTTTTTTTTTTTTAGGGCTAATGTCTTCCATAATTTGCTTCTTTCAACTCACCATGGACAGAGAAACACATATAACATTTCATTATTTTAGTCAAGATATATTTATTGAGCACATAGAATGTGTTAAACATTGTGATAGGTGCTAGAGACATACTACTGATAAAAACAGTCAAAACAGATACAAGATTTAGATTTTCTTGGGGAATTTAGATATTAATAAAAAAAGCACACCAAGGTATCATAATATAATCTGTAATGAGTGCTGAAGGCAGAGGTGTGCCGGACTGAGTTTGTAATAGGGAAACATCCCTACTCTAGGGAGTTAGGGACAGGTGAATCTGAGGGAAATGGGTGTCAGAGATAAGGGTAAGATAGAACACAGGAAGTCTTACAGGCCATTCTTAAGAGTTGTTTATCTTGAGAGCAGCAGGAACCCACTAAAGCATAATAGAACTCTGTCTGATACAAGAGTAAGTATAGTCCTCATATGAGGGTCATGTAAAATACATGAATTTTAGCATATGAACATAAAAGAGAATCTCTTTGAGCTCCCTGGAAAGTTGTTTTGCTAATGACTTGAAACTTGTCTATATTACAACAGCTGATGCTACAAGTAAGAGACGTAAGCATAAACAGATTGTCGTGGATTGTATAATCCTCCAGATTTTTAGTAATTTTCAGTGAGTTCATCAATTTTTAAATTTCATTATTTATTATTATTTATTAGTGTTCTTTATTATTAGAGCCTTGCCTATTTATGATAAAAAGATATATAGGGCGGTTCAAATTGAAGTATATTATCAAAGCCATTTAAAGAGGAAGAAACAAAATGGTAGCCAGGATACGGGACTACATCAAGTTCTGAGCTTTGAGAGCAGTGAAAATATAAAGGGACATTCAGTGGGATACATAACTTTCATTATGTGATGGAAGCAAGCCTACCTATTTTTTTAAGAGAGGGTTAAGTTTCTTGGAAACTATTTCTAAAAGAAATGTATCATGTGGGACTTTGACAGCCTAATAATATTAGCAAGGTTATTTAACAAAATTTTATATAAAAAAAGAAGCTTTCTCTTTGACTGTTTTGTACATGGACCCACAATCAAGGCCAAGAATGTAATGCTTGTAACCCTGAAGGGTATTTTTATTAAGCGTTTTCAGGAAGAGGGAGATAATCTTCTTTGATCTAGATTTACAACTCTCTCAAGCTCTGATGATATGGGGATTACCATATTCTGTTAAGAATAAATGAAGAGCATTTCCCTTATATTCTGCTCTTCAGACTTGATCTTCAAAAGAATGCTACCCAGAAATCTAACATTTCAGTCAGTTAAAATAAGAACTGCTGGGTTGAAGGGGTGGCCATAATCTTGGACACTCCACTTCTCCTAGTGCTACTTGCTGGTCCTGGAGGAACCTTGAAATGTCCTAATGGCTACATGGAGCACTCATTAAATCCGCAGACTTAAATATTCTCGCTCCTCACAGGGCTTTCATAGGAACTGGAAGAAGACATCTAGAATGTGTGCTGGGAACCTAGCTAACAGCTATTATATATTGTTAATTGCATGCCAACTGAGTGGGTTGTGTTGGTGATGGTCAGTATTCTCACCTAGTGAGATGGCCACCTCACTTCCCACAGCCTGGAAGTGTGAGAGGACCATTGGCCAAACCCCAGTTTCCTTGAGATCGGTTTGGAATACCCTGAAGTATTGAGAATGTACTTGACTAAACCCAGAGCTGCTTACTGTATGTGACAAAAAAATTATTGTATACATACTGAAAGTTTTCTTAGCATAGCTATTTCCAGTTGTCAAAGAATGAGCTTTGTAAGGCAACTGTCAATTTTGTATAGTGTAGCCTTCCAGATTTTCTCTCAGGATCACTGAGCTACAAAAGGTACTCTTAAGTAATTTAAAAAATTGACCCATTGGATGGAATTATCTAGCAATGCCCATTTAAATATTGGATAATGTCTGCCCTAAAGTGTGATTTGTGCGTTGAAAAAAACTATTGTTAAACTGCTTCTTTCTGACATTAATGAGCTACCGAGGCAAATTGCTTTTCATAATCCCTTTTAATTTGAGGTGGTAAATAAAACCTTGTCATTGGTTTGAAGGGAGACTCTGAGTTTGTAAGAGCAGGAGGTGAAGGAGCCAGACCAGCTGGATGCTGCACAGACCATTGGTATAAAATTAAAGTAACTGTTTAAAACTCAGTCTTGCTGAGATTGTAACCTTGTGTGCGGTATGCCTAATTAAGCAATGGTTTAAAGATACTTAGTTTAAAAGGTCATGCTTCTTCCAGTCTGTTGTTTAGCTGAGAACATAACAATCATAGAATTTCCAATGATAAGTGATCAGTATTTCAGGCCAGAATTATTCTATAACACAACAACTAGTTAAAGGTGAAGCACTTAGTCAAACTACTACACTACAAAGTGGTATTTCCATCAAAGACTTAACCACCAATGGTGGTTTGATTGAATTTAATCACTCAAGCTGATATTTTCTCATCAATGGAAAAATTTACCTGAACCATAGTCTGCATGTATATTTTAAGAACACTCTGAGTCATAGCATATCTGGAATTACTCATGTGTTCCTTATAACTTTTCTCAACCTTTTCTCTGTACTTGGGGAGGGAAACAAAGTTCTGCCTTTTGGATTACTTTCATTGCTACCATTGAACAAAGCAGTGTTTCTATAAATGTTTTAAATCCAAAGATTTATCAAAAGAAAAACATAAAATAAAGAAGAGGGGTTTAGATTTTTCAGGAACTTAAGTATTGATGTCAATTCCTTCATTCTGATCTATAGGCAATAAAATATTAATACTTACATCTTGTATAGAATCAGAGTTTTCTGTTGCCATGAGAACCCGAGTTATCATAAAGAAAACGTGTTGGATAGAATTCCAGTTGCAATCTCCGCTCTCCTTTTCTCAGTACCTGAGCTCACATCAGGGGCAGGGCAGGCACAGCGGTAATACTAATCAGGAGTGTTTGGTTGTAGGTAACAGAAACCACCTTAAACTTGCTTAAGCTAAAGGGAAGAATTTATGAGGGTATGTCAAGAAACCGCATGGCAGAGGGCACCTGGGTGGCTCAGTTGGTTAAGCGACTGCCTTCGGCTCACGTCATGATCCTGGGGTCCCGGGATCGAGTCCCACATCGGGCTCAAGTCTGCTTCTCGCTCTGAGCCTCCCCCCTCTCATGCTCTCTCTATCTCATTCTCTCTTTCAAATAAATAAATAAAATCTTTAAAAAAGAATAAAAAAACCACATGGCAGAATACAACAGGGTCTAAGGAAAAGAGTGGTTATAAGAACAAAACACTGGTCAGAAATCGCAACATCTCTCTGTCTGCTCTGTTTGGTTCTGTTTTCTGTTTGGTTCTGTTGATACTGGTTTTCCCTACTTCTAGGTCCATAGGGTAGATAGCAGAAG